AGGTGTGAAATGCACGGCCTGTTACTGTTTTCAAAATAACTAATTTGAAGATATTGTGAGACAAAAAAACTATAATTATGATGCAAATAAAGAAACACATTTTTGTATGAAATCTCATTAAAGGTCATTTTTTTATTGGTAATTTAATCTTGATCAAAAGTCAACAAAAGCCAAAAAATGTATTATTATCTCCCACCGGAAAGGAAAGAAACACACTTTTCTCTGATAAAAATCACACACAGCAATTCAGCTTTAGAGTTCATCCCTCTTCTTCTCCTCCTCCTTGTGGAAGACTTGTCCATCCGACTGCTTCCTCCAGGCCAGTCGGACGTTGTCGTCCAATCCCTGGGCCCTTAGGTTCTTTTTCGCCTGAGACACAAAAACTCATTATCATTATCGTTCCAATAAAAACAGATGATTTATCTTTAGTTCACTCATCTGAAATGGTAGTTGTTCCCCTTATTTCTTCCAGTGTAAAGGCTTACCTCAGGTTATGGAATAGTATTTGTACATTTTCCTAATGCATTTGGTGGCATGTGGCTAAGTTTCTGCTATTTACTTCTCCACATATTTACACGTCTTCTTACAAAATGCTTGGGTCCTTTTATTTGTGGCCAAAGTATTGAATGTATAATGGATATAGAATTTCATTCATGTTCATCTCAGCCTGTCCTCCTACAAAAAACGACCATATAGGTCGATTGTTCAGCAGATAAATACGACCCAGAGTCACATTTTAAAGTGTAGCACCTCTAGTGGTTGATTGCAAACGCTGCGGAGGGTCGTTTATTCACAAATAACCCTCTCTGGAAAATCCTATATTGTGGAATAGTTTGGCCATTAAAATGCTTTTTGATTAGATTTCTAGCGAGAAGTGTATATTGTACTTTTATAATCTAAGTCCAGTGGATGTGTAGGATCTATAGTTTGATAGATATTACGAAGATGATTTGAGGTCTCGCCAGGATAACGTGTATATGGGGCAGCTTCCATGTAAAGTTAGCGTGGGTGAAAACAGTTTTACCGGTCTCGAAGTTTTCATAATAAAACCGGATATATTCCCCTCACTGTCAAATGATTACACAGTGATATCTGCATTACTCATCCACTAAAAAACATAAGTTTATCCTTGTTAATTACACAATATTGATTGGTTTAAATTGTGTACAATGCCGAAGACACTACACTACCCAGAATCCCCAGCTATCGTTTGGGACTACAACATCCGCCTTGCTTTACAAACCCCGTGAGTAGTCAACAAGCCCTGTGATTGGATGTTGGAGTGGCGACAAGGTTATGCTGAGCGTCGAACAGCTTTATGAAATGGAATGGAACCACGGCAGACTTTCCAAAACTGGAATTGGACGGGTCCAGCCCCCGGGTCCAGCCCCCCCCCCCACCACGTCTCTTTATAAGACGTTATCGTATTTCCCACAATTAGAAGTTGCCAGTATTAAACTGTGTACACCCTGGAGGTTTAGGGGATATGAAACACAGTGGTGTTATCAAATGTAAAACATATAATTAATAAATGGGTGAATTAATATACCCACATGACACCTAAGGTCAGAAGAGCTTTATTTAACAGCTGGTCTTATGTCTGTGACCCCTCCTGTTGTTCATTGATAAGCCTGAAACATGCTCTTGTCAAGGTTCAGAGGCAAATTTTGCAAATATGGCAGTAGCCATCGATCATCTTAAGATAAGATAAGATAACTTATACTTTATTGATCCCAAGTTGGGAAATGTTTTTGTTACAGCAGCATACTACTTTGTTCTACTCCACTACAATTCAGAGGTTAACCTGGTATTTTTACTCCACTACATTTATTTTAGTTACTTTGCAGATTCTGATTAATGATGTGAAATATAAACAACCCTTAAATCAGACTTTAGTTACACCTGAGTCAAATTCAGGGAAGGTGATTGTCAAGTGCCAAAATAAACTATGCAATATATTGGACGTCAAGTACTTTGTCAGACTTCATATTTATCTGTGGATAACCCCAACATTTTTTTCTTATTCAAAAGAGGACCTTAACTTAACCTGATTAGCCCTGAGCCTGTTTTTCAGGTCTCAGGCTCGAAAATGACATTCCCAGAACAAATTACCATATCTTCCCTTCTAAAAGGGTTAAATTAATAATATTTTTCCTCAAAGTAATGATAAACCTGTGAGTTGGATGTAGAAGAGTCAGAACAATATAGATGTTTTTTATTTGAATGAAAATTCAGATTGAACATAGTAAAAAACTGTAAATTATAGTGTCCGTCCAAAAATTATTTTTTACATATAGTGAAAACTACCCTTGGATGATGGTAAGGTAGACTAACAGCTTTAGGAATCCAAAGTACAACATATAATAAGTACCTTGTATCAAGATTGATGCAAAACAAGTGACATTTGACCTTTTTAGAGAGGTTTAGCAAAAAAACTCCACCTCTGAGGTGATTTGGGTGGAAATGGGGGTTTTACCGTTTCTCTGGAACCCATTGGTCGATTTTGGTGATTGACATCTCTTTCTGACCGTTAGAGCCAATAGAATCGAAGGGGAATCTCCCCACTCACTAACATTGTACAACAAAAAGGTGGGGGCAGTTGAGACTGCTCCGTGTCCATGGTAACAGCCATGCGTGATGACGTAGAGAAGTCTTACGTTACCTGATCTCTCAAACATGAAACGGGACAGACGATACAACTTCATGATGAGGACATTTTTATAAACTTTAAAAGTGTACACAAATGTAAAATGTTAGCTTGATAACATTCCCAATATTAAATACCATTTCCCATAAAGAAGAAGAACTGGACTGATTCCAAATGTTGTACATGTCTACTTAGAAGTACAACAATATGGCACCACCATTAAAGTAGTGAAAAATAACCAGGCAATCAAAACCAAATGTGAATTTAATAAATTATATAATATATGATTTATCAATGTTTGTTCTTTAAATGTATTTCTTTATACAGTATATATATATTTGTTCACTTTTTTTTACTGTGTCTGTACCTCTGATGTTAAGGTTTTGTGTGTATATAATGTTTGTGTAAATATATATTTTCTTGAATAAAGCAGAACAAATATCTATATATATCTATATAGAGAATCAGGAGGCCATAAATTGTCTAAAATCAGGGAAATTACCATTCTGGCCAATAACCAATACCAACCAATAATCCAACATGTGAGAAATAATTGAATAAATCATTCAAATAAATAACTTCTCTTTATTGGATATAGTTTATTCTTCATAGTGATTATTTTTTGTAAACAGTATATTAATTTCATGAAGATACATGACAAAAAACAACATCAAATCTTATAATAATAGTTAAGAAGCTGGAACCAGCGAATATTCAGCATTGTTGCCAGAAGGATGTTTGAGTAACGTAAAACGGTTATAGATAATTTAAGGACATTTGCTTCAAGTTTATATCCTTAATAAGGATGAAAATACAATTAATTATTTTCTATTTAGATTATTTGAAGATATTCTCACATTACATACATTACAATTGATATGGTTGCAATAATCTAATAATATCTAATCTATCAAATGTCACACAAAAGAGTAAAATGCCTGTTATATATCCCACAGCCAGAGGGAATTAAAACCCGACGAGATTCAGTTTATGACCACATAGCACAAAGAAAAGCATTACATCTTCATATTCTGGAAGATGATTCACCAATTTTAGGAACATATCTTAAAGTTTGCATCCCTAAAGAAAAGGAGCAATAACCACAATGTTTAACTCATTTGAAGATATTAATAACAGTGAGTAATTGTACAACACATTTTTAGGATCAAATATAAGTTTAAAATGAAGAATTATATTTTTTTATGAAAATGACTTTAAAGATGCATTAGAGGTCATCATGTTAATTGGTAATAAGATTTCCTGGAATTGCCCTCTATTAAATCTTATATTATTTTAAAATGTCTCATATTTTATCTGAAAAAACATGTAAAAAGTCACAAAATAGGAAAATAAATCCTGTTTTTCGCAGGTCAAGCAGATACATGAACAGTTAAAACCCCAAACATATTAACTTCAAAACCATATATAACAAGAGAAAACATTACAGCTCTTATCTTATCTCACTACTGATAGATTATTCAGATCATTGTTGCAGCTGTATTCTGTAACACGAGGACTTTGAGGAAAGAAATACACCTTTCTCTGATAAAAGCCGAAACAGCAATTCAGCTTTAGAGCTCATCCCTCTTCTCCTCCTCCTCCTCCTTGTGGAAGACTTGTCCATCCGGCTGCTTCCTCCAGGCCAGTTGGACGTTGTCGTCCAATCCCTGGGCCCTTAGGTTCTTTTTCGCCTGAGACACAAAAACTCATTATCATTATCGTTCCAATAAAAACAGATGATTTATCTTTAGTTCACTCATCTGAAATGGTAGTTGTTCCCCTTATTTCTTCCAGTGTAAAGGCTTACCTCAGGTTATGGAATAGTATTTGTACATTTTCCTAATGCATTTGGTGGCATGTGGCTAAGTTTATGCTATTTACTTCTGCACATATTTACACGTCTTCTTACTAAATGCTTGGGTCCTGTTGTTTGTGGCCAAAGTATTGAATGTATAATGGATATAGAATTTCATTCATGTTCCTCTTGGTCCATTTAATTCGTATTGAAATTAATTTACTACATTTTCTTTCGTTGAATTCATTATTTTTTAATAGTTATTTATTTGTTTCCTACCTCTTTCGTCTCGTGTTCTCATGTCATGTGAATTTCCTTTCTGGTGATTGATGTTTTTGCATAAAAGTAGAAAACATGATTTACCTCCACCAACATCGCATCCAGAAAAGCGGGGTCGTTCAGATCCACACCGTTTGGTTTCTCCACTCTCACCTTTATCACTTTCATTGAAACAGGCACAGCTAAAAACACAAACAAACTTCATCAGTCACAACATTTATGGTGTCTTCTTTTTCAACAGACTCAATATCATCACTTGCTTTGTCATAGCTGTGAATTTTACTCACGTCCGTAGCAAATGAATGGTTTCTCCACTCCACAGTCCAAGTCCTCCCATTTTCCAAAGTTGTCGAAATCTGCAGCCACACAAACATTTAAAACTATGTAAAGGTTAGGTTCATTATCTGCCCAGTACTTGAAGAAGGAGTTACTTCCATCGGACCACTTCCAGGAGTCTCTGTAAAGGCCGATCCAGGCGGTAGATTGCCATCCAGATAACAGCTCAACAATCTGCTGGTTCTCCGCCAGGTTTCTCACACTGGCCAGGTCTGTGTGGTGTTTCCTGCAGTAGCTCTGGGCCTCAGTCCAGTTCATTTTGCTGTCAATAGGGACAAATGTTGCATTCGGCCCTGAAAATGGACCACAGAGAAGCTGAGTAGAGGCACCACAACATACAGCCTGACATCAATGCCACATCTCTGGTGGTATTGATGCCTTTATAATATAAAATATTACATTTAAATCCCACAAATGTGTACTTTGTAATTTGTAGTTCTGGGGTTTTTCAACACATGAATGTTGGCAATAAACTTTAGTAGTATCAGTGGTGGAATATTCAGATATTTTAGTAAAAGCAGGAGTACAACGATGTGAAGATACTCTGTTACAGGTTAAAGCTTCATTCAAATTATATTGATTCTATATTGTTCTTATTCTGTTTAGCACAGATGTATAAGATGTAAAACGTACCTTCAATTATAAAACAAGTTTGCAAAAAATGGTATATACATAATTTCCTTTTATGTTAAAATGTAAATGAAACCATGTGAGAACTTTTGTGAAAAGGGAAATGTCTTTAGTGGAACTGCTAACAAAAGAAAAAAAGTCACAAAGAAAAAAGGTTGTGAACCGCTAGTTAGATAAAGACCAATGCATTGTATTTCAGAAGCTTAACATATGATTTTAAATGTGTAATATTAATTTTAAATTGATATTCTTACCTGTGACATCAAAGCAGACCACACTGAAGGCGCCATTACAATAATAATCATTCCATCTTCCATCAGAATAAAATATTGTGCATTGTTCATCGTGCCCGTTGCTTGGTTCTCCAGTCCCCCATCCTCTGAACTCGATCTCCCCCGGTCCGTAGAAGCTTGGGTCTGACATCGACCACCTCCAGGTGTCCCGGTCCTCGTACAGCCCTATCCAGGCTGACTGAAAGAAAGAAATTGTTATAATTATGACATCCTGTTGAAGCTTTTAAAGCTGCTGCTTAAGAAAATGTGTATGTTTAATAAAGAGAAGGTTTGCCTTTATGAGACCAGCCTTGGTACATGGTGATCTGATGGGAATCCCCTCAAGTCAACATTCATTTACAGCCTTGTTACTCTGAACCTCTTCCACTTTATTACAGGGTTTTACGCTATAGCTTTGGCTTAAAACATTTTCAACTGTGTTTTAATACTCAGGTTCCCATAGGACTTTAAAACAGGTTTAGCTTTCTGTAATAATCTCTCCTTTTTAAATTTGACTTTAAAAGAAATGTAATTCTTTTGAATTGAAAGACAGAGAAAAGTGACCTCACTTGTTTGAATTGGCCTGCCATGTTGTTCAGGAGCTCCACAACCTCCATGCTGTCTACAGTGGCCAGGTCTGTGTGTTTCTCTCTGCAGTATCTCTGTGCTTCAGACATGGTCTTTGCTTCAGAAACAAAATGGTACTGACGTTCAGCATGTGAGGAGACAGCGCTCAGCCCTGTAGAGACACACACATTCATTTAGGCTATAACTTGACTTTTTGAATCACACTTTACTGTAATATGGCGCATCATTATACATTTTGACTTCTACTTCAAACAATTCACAGTGAAATATGTAGCTTTCAGCTGAACTTCATTTAGTTGTTTTTAAGCAAGTACCTTTCAAACAATATAAAAGGTGTTAAGAATGCAAAACAAGTAATTGTCAAATAGAATCAGAAATGTCTTCTCTAGTTATTTATCTCCCCACCCCTCAGGTTTACATGAAATAATCAATAAAGACATAAAAAGATATCCAAATATATAAAACACTTGCCTGCAGCTGCCATGATCAGCAGCAGAACTACGTCCATCGTTGTTTGCTCTCTGACTGCAACTGTTGTTACAGCTCATAGTGTTTCTCATGAATGTCTTTGAGTAAGCTATTGTCATCTAACTTCATGCAAGGTCAGACGCAACAGATGTTTGCATAGGCAAATTGTTCTGGTTATGTTAAATACAGGACCCAGTCGCAGAAAAGGACTTGAGAATCAGAATCAGAATTCTGAAGTAGGTTTACACATATGAGGAATTTGCTTTGGTTTATGTGGTGCATACAAAGACGAAGAAAGAAGAATATGTACGTGAACAAAATAAAAATAAAAATAGAACTGTTATAACAGCTATTTAAAAAAACTTTTATGAAAATATAATTCTCTAAGAAACTGGGTACAGTCAAATGTAATAAAACATGAAAAATACTATGTACTATATCCAAAGTGGAGAGCTGTGCTGATATACAAGAGGTAGTGTGGAGAAGAAATGTGCACCACATTTGTAGGATTCGCACGATGTGACTTAATGTAATACATAATGTTTTTTATGGGGTGGGTAGAAGTCAGTGTCCGTGGGGGTCCCGGTCCTTGTTGATGAGACCGGTAGCAGAGGGGAGGAAACTGTTCAGGTGGCGAGAGGTTTTGGTCCTGATGGAGCGCAGCCTCCTCCAGCGGGGAGAGGGGTAAACAGTTTGTGTCTGCAGAGCGGATGATATGCTGAAACCTTCCTTTGTCCTTAGCTGTAGCTGCAGCGTACCAGATGGTGATGGAGGAGGTGAGGATGGACTCGATGATGGTGGTGTAGAAACCATCATCGACTTTGGCAGGTAGAATTTCTTCAGCTGCTGCAGGAAAAACATCCGGTGCAGCTGGGAGAGCTTGTCCCGAATGTCCCGCAGAGGGAGTAAAGTTCAACATATTTATTGTTGTATATACTCAGGCAGATGATGAAGAAAGGGTAGCGGAAACCGTTGGCAGTTGGCGATGTGTCACGACCGATGGGAGCCTGGTGTGAAGACTTGCTACAGGCGCAGACAGAGCATGAAAACTAGAGAGTCCGCCTCCATGGAAGTCCACTAGAAGTGACGTTTCAGGAGGGATAGGGTCCGATTGATACCCGGGTGGAAGGCAAAGCGGGAAGAGTGGGTGAATGGGAGAACTTGTGAGCGGTCAGGTACAACGGTTATCCGGACTGTTACCTGGATCTGGCTGGTCTTTCTATGTGTTCCTCAGTGAGCTCTCAATCTCCCACGTCACAGCGCCCACCACCCTGGTAGCGGGAATTATGGTGTCAGGAACTGTGGAGTCATGATCCCCTGCAAACCGCCGGGACAGGGCGTCAGGTTTGTAGGTTTCTAGAATCGGAACGATAGGTACAGGTAAAGTTGAATCTGCCAAAAATGAAAGCCCAGCAGGCTTGACAAGAGTTTAATCATTTGGCAGTTTCTATGTAGGCCAGAATCAAAATGTCACTCAAGTAAAAGTAGAAAAGTATTGGCATCAGAAAATACTTAAAGTACCAAAAGTAAAAGTACTCATTTGCAGATTGGCCCATTTCAGAAAAATATATATTATATGTTTTGATTATAATTATTGATGCATTAAAGTGTTATCAAAGTTATCAAAGGTATTATATCTTAAGTACAGTACTTGAGCAAACGTACTTAGTTACTTCCCACGTCTGTTTACACATTATAGTGTAAATATGGGAGTGACAGTGGTTAACAACTATCTTGTGTTGAAAAAAACCGAACAAATATCATTTTAATTTGATCTCCAAATAGAGTTAAAAATTACAATAAATTGGGGTTAAGGTACCTACTCTGCAAAAAGGGTTAAATGTACACTATGTGGTGTGGACCCATTGACACAAAGTGTTGAAATCAGATCTGAGAGTGTTCATTTGGGTATGCTGATTTTGCTTTGATATAACATTCAAATCACTCTGTTTGCATAAAGTAAGAAAGGTCAAAGCAGCACAATAAAACAACCCAGAGGTTAAACCTGGAACAATACGTATGTTCTGTTTGGATGAGATCAACACTGTCCAAATACCACATTACAAGTAAAATACATGCATATTGTCATTATAATCAGGAACATGTACTCAAAGTATCAAAATGAAAGGTAATCAATACTTGCTCCATAAGTCTATACGTTATGATATCATTTGTATCACACTGTAATAATTCATTTTGTATTCACAATGAACTGTTAACAGTACTTTACTATAAATAAGTTTGACAGTAAAACAGCTTTACTTTTGGTTAGAGTTTAACACTGTAAGGATGGTATGAGCATGCAAAACTAATCTCAAACACAAGACACAGCAGGGCAGGGCAGGAAGAACACAAGGACACCAGAGCCGTTTCTCAGTTCTCCAATACAGAAATAAAAAGGGTTTTGTTTGAAGATCTGTTTAGCACGCTAACTTCAGGAGTGTTGTGACTACTCTATGTTACTTTATTTGTATGGAACCTTTCATGCAAGGTGCATCCCAAAGTGCTTTTCATGAGGACATTTCTATTTTGAAAACAGCAAAATATTAATTAATTACATATATATATATATATATATATTATCATATATGACAAAAAAAGGATAATCAAATCATAATATTTAGAAATATTAAAAAATCAATAATTAATATTTTCCCCTAGAAGTTGTTACAGTAATTTAAATAGTCATACATATCTTTAGGGAAATTGCTTCAAGTTTTCATCCCCATTTGGGTGACGGCATAATTGTGTTTTATGAAATCATTGGAAGATATTCTTACATATTACAGGAAGAAAACTTGGTCTGATCCCAAAACATATTACTTTTATGACAATATATGAAGTAAAGCATCAAATCCTCATGTCATGGAAGCCAATTCCCTAATTTAGCATCCCTAACAATGTGAAAATGAATTATATGTACAATTCTTTTGTTTTCTTTATAGCTTATTTGACGGAATTATGGAATTTAACAGTGAATCTTCGTGTTACTCACGTCCGTAGCAAATGAATGGTTTCAGCCACACAAACCTTAAAAGCTCTGTGTTTAGGTTCATTTTCTGCCCAGTACCTGAAGGAGGAGAAACTTCCATCGGACCACTTCCAGGAGTCTCTGTAAAGGCCGATCCAATATATCCCTCCAGGTAACAGCTCAACAATCTGCTCCTCCTCCGCCGGGTTTCTGACACTGGCCAGGTCTGTGTGGTGTTCTCTGCAGTAGCTCTGGGCCTCAGTCCATGTCATTACACCATCAGTGGAGAGAAATCTCACATTCGGTCCTGAAAATGGACCCCAGAGAAGTGCTGAGTAGAGGCACCACGACATACAGCCTGACATCAATCACACATCTGTGGTGGTATTGATGCCTTTATAATATAAAATATAACATTGAAATCATCGAGACATAAGGAATTACACCAATAAATGAACACATGTATTAAATAAACATGTATGATATTATAATCTGAAAGTGTTTTTAAACGGTCTCTCCACATGAATTTAAATATAAGTAAGAGTTCAGATATAAAAAAGTTTGGGAACCATTTGTCAGATATAGAATAATAATAATATAATTTCAGAAGCTTCAAATTAATCTGAAATTAATATTCTTACCTTTGACCTCACAGCAGACTGCGCAGTAGCGGTTGTCACAAACAACATCATCCCATCCTGATGAGGGTGCGCAAATATGATCACATCACCCCCATCCTTAAAGCACTACACTGGCTCCCCGTGGAACTGAGGATCGAATTCAAGGTCTCCGTCCTCACCCACCATTGTGTCCATGGAACTGCCCCTCCCTACCTCAAGGAACTCCTCACCACCCATACCTCCTTGCGGACCACCTGCTCCAGCAACTCCAACTTGCTCAAACCCCCCAGGACTAAGCTCCGTACTATGGGAGACCGGGCCTTCTGCTCGGCTGCTCCCAGTCTGTGGAATGCTCTCCCCGACCACATGAG